CTAACTGCAAGGTCAGGTGGGCAAGGTGGGCAGTTCAAAACGAGCAGCCACTCTACAAGACAAAGATGAGGCTTTCAACCCCTGTAGTTAGTTACAGTTTCAGAGATCCAGAGAGGCAAGATGGGTCTCTGTTGGCCCCTAGTGAGACCAGGAGATGGAGTCAACTCAATGTTAGTGCGTTTGGGTTTGCCTTTTAAAGGGGGAAGGAATTGCAGCTCTGCTGATGATCAGCCTACTGTCTAACCAGTTACTAAGTTCATCCTTGAGTCTCCTACAAAGTTCTTTCATCATCAATTCTTTCCAGTGACAATTGTGCATCAGGATGTCTCCTGTTTTAGCTGCGGCTGTAAATCTGAGTGAGATGTGTTAGGATGCCCGTCAGCCTGGCATCAGAGTTGGGACACTTACCAGGCTTGGGATCTCAGGGCCCAGTCTTCATTTCCCTATTGGGAGGAATGCTCAAACAACCATTCCTTTCTAGCAAGCAGATAGTCCATTCTCTTGCTCAGCAGACGTGCCTGGTCTGTCAAGGTGAGGGTGTCTTTTCTAACCCTCTAGAACAGTGGTTCTCAACTTTCCTAATGCCGTGACCCTTTAACACAGTTCCTCATGTTATGATGACCGCCCCCCAACCAGAAAATTATTTTCATTGCTACTTCTAACTGTAATTTTGCTACTGTCGTGAGTCAGGCAACCCCTGGGAAAGGGTCATTCAACACCCCCCCACCAAAGAGGTCGCAACCCACAGGTTGAGAAGCACTGCTCTAGAACAGATATGCTTCTGGAGTGGGTTATACCTTGGTTCTTTGCTCCACATGCTAAAAGGATTCTTGCAGAAGCACGTTGTGTGATCCAAGTGGGTTTTTAATGAAGGACAAGACAAGTTTCAGGTGTTACAGTCTTAAAAGGGTACCCACTATTTTAGAGAAACGTGCCAAGCCACCCAGAAGCCACGCTGGGGTTCACAAGTAGACACAAACAATGATGTGGGAGAACCCACGCGTGCACAACTGGGGTCGGATACCAGGAGGCCAGAAGCCCAAGAACCCTAGCGACTAAGAGCATGTGGGTTCAAGTAGGTCCGGAGTGGACCCTCCCCCTCCACCTGCCTCTGACCAGGAGCAGGGTAAGAGAGCCCGAGGCCTTCCCATAGCCGTATGCGTGCGTGGTTGATGGTATTGGTTGACACCATTGGCTGAGTTATGCCCACTTGGGTGATGTCATGAGCCTGGGCCTAGTTTAGGTGCCTACCACCTGACTCAGGGTTTGAGTATAAGCATGCTCAGTTTGGGATCTTAATAGTTGTTCAATGGTTGCCTGGTTTCTTTCCATCCTCCTCTATGGGGGCCTTTGCAGGCATGTTGGAGGGGCAACCCCCCTCTTCACAGCTGGCTACTTAACACCACCACATTGTGGACATTGTAACCCATGTCAGGGAACCGTTTGTATAAAATTCGTTAAATGGGACTCTAGTATGCTGTGTAACTAACTTTCATCCAAAAACGTATTTAAGAAAGAAAATACAGAAAAATCATTTAACAGTATATACCATACTCAACTCG